CTAATAATAATAATAATAATAATAATAAACCTTAGCAGACCATAGAAAACGCAGAAACATTCTCAGCTTCCCGGAAAGCACACATGCTGCGTGGGATACACTAGCAAAAAGATGGAGATCATCATTGCCTTTCTCCCCCTGGGTCCTGGTATAGGCTACGAACAAACGTTCTACCTTTCCCCATCCTGGGCTAGTCTTTTGATATTATTATTCTATGTCTTTCCACTTTTCTGTGCATCAAGTTTCGTGACTCTTCTCCAGGTTCCGCGTGGTCTTCCACAATCTTCTTGATCTTTTACCCTGCCTATGGATTCCAATCCAACACTTTCCTTGCTGTGCAGCTGCCTGACTTCCTCAGAGCATGTCCAATCCATCGCCACTACCTTCTTCCCACCTCATTCCTGACTACGCTCGGTCTTGTTTTATAAAATGTGAGACATCGTGGTGAAATCAGGCGCTTGTCATAATAACCAAATTAGAGAAACAGGCATTTTCCTACAAGTTTCACAATTGTATTCGAAGTTTTTGTTTTTTTGTTCAACCCTTTATGTCAAAATAAAAATACATTTCCATGTGAATTATATTGAAAAACGTTGATTAAAAGCTCAAAATACGTAATTTTTCCGTTTTCAAGGACTCTTTAGCTATTGAAGTTACCAACTTTGGCGGCCATTTTCTCGCTATTTTTACCGCTAAAACCAAGTGAACTTACCTCTTTCAATCACAAATATCTTCACCTCTGCAAAAGATAGATGGGTATTTTTTTCATCCAAAGTAAGATAACTGGACAAACTTTAAGATGATACCAATATCTCCACATGCACAAAAATTGACGAGCACCTGATTCCACCACGTCGTGACACGAATAGCTTACCCACTCAGAAATCGAACAAAATTTACCTTTTGGTTCAAGGTAAGGAACGTAACCATCTAGATCATCACAGACGTGATTACCAGCTACATTTTCGAAAGCAAAGAGAGAGAAACAACGACAACAGTAGTATTATGGCGACAAAAGGTTGACATTACCTCATAACACATTGTGAGGTAGCCTGGTGGAATCAGGCTCTCGTCAATTTTGGGGCATGTAGAGTTATTGGTATCATCTTAAAGCTTGTTCACTTGTCTTTATTTGGATGAAAAAAATATCCATTTATCTTGAGTACAAGTCGATATATTTACGAAAGAAGGAGGTGGGGGTCACCTGTTTTCAGAGGTAAAATTAGTGAAAAAATGGCCGCCAGAGATTAGTTATTTCCTTAGCTTAAGAGTCCGTGATAACTGAAAAGTTACGCTTTTTGTGCCCTTAATCAACATTTTTCAGAAAAATCCACACCGAAATGAGTTCTTTAATGGGCATTAAAGGTGTTGAGCCAAAACACAAAAATTTGATAAAAGTTCACAAACCTGCGGAAAAATACAGGTTACTTCACTTTCATTATTTTGACGAGAGCCTGATTCCACCACGCTGCCTCACAATTGTTTATTAACCAGTAGAGTAATCAGAACGAAAAGACTCGCACAGTATTGTTTCACAATCCATGAAAACAGGAAAGAAAACTAAGTAAAAGAAGACAGTCTTTTATAAATCAATAAATGCACATACATGTAATTATAATTAATACTCCTGTCACGGAATTTAACATCCATAATCGCATACATACAGTGACAACTAACATACAATACACAAAACATCGTTGTTGTTTTTGTTGTTTGTTTGTTATTTCTTGTGTCCTTTGGTTTGTTTTGTTTTTTTATTGAGTTTGTTGTTGTTGTTGTTGTTGTTGTTGTTTTGTTTTTGTTGTTGTTGTTTTGTTGGTCGTTGTTTTTTTTTGTTTTTTTTTGGGGG